TGCTTCACTGTGGGGATGGTGTTCTCGGGGTGATGAGAGGTGTTGGGTTTGCGCCAGACATTGTGTTTTCCTTGATGGCCAAAAAGCTCAATTTTAGTCTCATCTGACCAGAGTACCTTCTTCCATATGTTTGGGGAGTCTCCCACATGCCTTTTGGCAAACACCAAACGTGTTTGCTTATTTTTTTCTTTAAGCAATGGCTTTTTTCTGGTCACTCTTCCGTAAAGCCCAGCTCTGTGGAGTGTACGGCTTAAAGTGGTCCTATGGACAGATACTCCAATCTCCGCTGTGGAGCTTTGCAGCTCCTTCAGGGTTATCTTTGGTCTCTTTGTTGCCTCTCTGATTAATGCCCTCCTTGCCTGGTCCGTGAGTTTTGGTAGGCGGCCCTCTCTTGGCAGGTTTGTTGTGGTGCCATATTCTTTCCATTTTTTAATAATGGATTTAATGGTGCTCAGTGGGATGTTCAAAGTTTCTGATATTTTTTTATAACCCAACCCTGATCTGTACTTCTCCACAACTTTGCCCCTGACCTGTTTGGAGAGCTCCTTGGTCTTCATGGTGCCGCTTGCTTGGTGGTGCCCCTTGCTTAGTGGTGTTGCAGACTCTGGGGCCTTTCAGAACAGGTGTATATATACTGAAATCATGTGACACTTAGATTGCACACAGGTGGATTTTATTTAACAAATTATGTGACTTCTGAAGGTAATTGGTTGCACCAGATCTTATTTAGGGGCTTCATAGCAAAGGGGGTGAATACATATGCACGCACCACTTTTCCGTTATTTATTTTATTTTGAATTTCTTGAAACAAGTAATTTTTTTCATTTCACTTCACCAATTTGGACTATTTTGTGTATATCCATTACATGAAATTCAAATAAAAATCTATTTAAATTACAGGTTGTAATGCAACAAAATAGGAAAACGCGAAGGTGGATGAATACTTTTGCAAGGCACTGTACTCACAAAGCCACCGGCCCAGATGGCATCCCTGGCCGTGTCCTCAGACTGTGTGCTGACCAGCAGGCGGGCATCTTCTCTGACAACTTCAACCTGTCCCTGTCCCTGTCCCAGGCTGAAATTCCCACTTGCTTCAAGGAGACCAACATCAGCCTAAGAAAACCAAGGTGACATGCCCAAATGGCTATTGCCCCGTCACACTCACCCCTGTCATCATGAAGTGCTTCGAGAGGCTGGTCATGACCCACATCAAGGCCAGCATGCCAGGCAGCTGGACCCACTCCAAAGCCCTGGGTCTGGACACTACCCTCTGCAACTGGATTTTGGACTTCCAGCGGGTGGTGAAGATGGCCCAGTACATCACTGGGTCCGTGTTCCCACCCATCTAGGACATCTACTTGAAACGGTGCCTGAGGAAGTCCCACAGCATGATCAAGGACCCCACGCACCACAGCCATGAGCTGTTCACTCCCTTCCCATCAGGCAGACAGTATCGGAGCATGAGGTCTGATACCAACAGGCTCAGAGACAGACAGTTTCAATCTACAAGCCATCAGACTGCTGAACACTTGAACTGAACTGACCACCTGAGCTGACTCTCCGCACCTTAGCACACATGCACTCACTCACGCACAAACCTACACAGACACACACACACACACACACACACACACACACACACACACACACACACACACACACACACACACACACATACATACATACATACATACTTACATACATACTTACATACATTCATGCTACACACACATCACAATTGCTGCTACCAGACTGTTATTTACTATTGCTAATACTGAACAACTTAAACAGCCTAATCCCCTTTTTCTCTGATACCCGTGTAAATATTGGACTATAACTTGCCTTCCTGTATTATACTGATGCTAAAATGTTTATTCTATTCTACTGAGCCATTTACTTTTAACGTTCGTATTCTTATATTTTATTATTTCTTATTGTTGTTGCATTGTCGAAAAGGAACCTGCAAGTAAGCATTTCGTTGGACTGTGTGTATACCATGTGTATCCCATACAACTAATACAACTTTAAACTGAAACTTTAAACTAAACCCAGCTAGCACATTTGGTTCCTTGGAAGTTGTGGGAACTTACGTTTTTGGTTTCCCATTGGTTCTAGGAACGAAGCCATAAGTTTCCTGACCGGTAAAACAGAAAGGTCTTTAAACATTCTGAGAACAGAAGTGAAAATGTTGCCTGTTCTGGGAACATTCCGTTTTTGTTGCAGGGATGTTCTGAGAACGTTTTACTATGGTTCTCTGAAAGTTTTCCTGGGAGGTTTTATTAATGTTCTGAGAGCAGAGATTATAGGTTATTTAAAGGTTTTTGAGTAACTTCCTTAAAACTTTAACTGAATGTTTCAAGAAGACTTTTAATAATAACACTGCTAGTTTAGGTCTGTTTTGAACTCCAAGCACAGATCTGACACCGCCTGGTATAGAGGTCGTGGATGGCAGGAAGCTTGGCCCCAGTGATGTACTGGGCCGTACGCACTACCCTCTGTAGTGCCTTGCGGTCGGTGGCCGAGCAGTTGAAATACCAGGCGGTGATGCATCCAGTCAGGATGCTCTCGATGGTGCAGCTGTAGAACCTTTTGAGGATCTGAGGACCCATGCCAAATCTTTTCAGTCTCCTGAGGGGGAATAGGCTTTGTCATACCCTCTTCACGACTGTCTTGGTGTGTTTGGACCATGATAGTTCGTTGGTGATGTGGACACCAAGGAACTTGAAGTTCTCAACCTGTTCCACTACAGCCCGTCGATGAGAATGGGGGCGTGCTCAGTCCTCTTTTTTTTTCTCCTGTAGTCCACAATCATCTCCTTTGTCTTGGTCACGTTGAGGGAGAGGTTGTTATCCTGGCACCACACGGCCAGGTCTCTGACCTCCTCCCTATAGGCTGTCTCATCATTGTCAGTGATCAGGCCTACCACTGTTGTGTCGTCGGCAAACTTAATGATGGTGTTGGAGTCGTGCCTGGCCATGCAGTCATGGGTGAACGGGGAGTACAGGAGGGAACTGAGCATGCACCCCTGAGGGGCCCCCGTGTTGAGGATCAGCGTGGCAGATGTGTTGTTACCTACCCTTACCACCTGGGGGCGGCCCGTCAGGAAGTCCAGGATCCATTGCAGAGGGAGATGTTTAGTCCCAGGATCCTTAGCTTAGTGATGAGCTTTGAGGGCACTATGGTGTTGAACGCTGAGCTGTAGTCAATGAATAGCATTCTCACGTAGGTGTTCCTCTTGTCCAGGTGGGAAAGGGCAGTGTGGAGCGCAATAGAGATTGCATCATCTGTGGATCTGTTGGGGCGGTATGCAAATTGGAGTGGGTCTAGGGTTTCTGGGATAATGGTGTTGATGTGAGCCATGATCAGCCTTTCAAAGCACTTCATGGCTACAAATGTCAGTGCTACGGGTCGGTAGTCATTTAGGCAGGTTATCTTAGTGTCCTTTGCGGAAGCACAGTGGAACCCCTCAATGGCAATGGCACTGCCCATGCTAAATTGGCCTTTTGGCCACTAAAAGCCCCTATCCTTCTCTATGATTCAAACAGACCCCATTTCAAAGAAAACAAGCACTCATTAAAACCAGGTGTGGCCAATTAGTGGGCGTGGCCAACACACCTGAACAACCACACTTAACAAGATAGAGGATAGAGAGAGTTTTGTTGATGCTGAGAACGGAATGTATAAGTTTTTCAATAACATTCTTCGAACATTCTTTGAACGTTACTAATGTTTTCTTGTGGTTTTTCTGGAAAGATTTCTTAATGTTATGAGAACATTACTTTAAATAGAACGATGGGGAAACCTGCAGAAAACCTTATGCTGAAGGACTGAAATTCCCATAGAAGAACGTTGTTTCTTAACATTCTCGGAACAATTTCAGAACATTAATATAAAGCTGCAATATGTAACTTTTTGGGGGACTTGACCAGTTTCACACAGACATAAGAGGCGTACTGCAGGTCCTCTCACCCTGACCCTAGTTGGCAGCCTGTCTACAACACGACACCAATCTATACAAATTAGAACACACACACACTCATAGCCCAGGAAACACACACACACTCCTACGCAGGCAGCCAGGCACCAACCAACATGTCTGTTCACCTAGGAGGAGTCAATAGAGGCACAGACACTCTAATGACGAGTTCACGTCATGTCGGAAACTTGGACATTTCCGACTTGCTTACTCGTTGTAGAAAGATGATACCCGAGTTTCCCACTTGGGAAGTATCAGAATGAACCAATAGGAAGCTCTACGCAAATAACTTAGGTTCATTTTAACTCGGAGGTCCCGAGTTTCCGACATGACGTGAACGCGGAAAAACACACATACACGCTAACACACACACACACACACACACACAGAGGTTGTTCTGTAATTATTCTCCCTGTGATGCTCTGTAAAGACAGAAACTGTGTTGGTTTGGAACCGCTCTGATCTCTGCTATAATAGTACCACAGGTCAACTCCCCTGCCCTGAGCCACACACGGCTAGCCTCAAACGAACCAATCCTGATCTCGCGAGCTTACGTCATTTTTTGCTACACGGACAGAATGTAAGCTCGCGAGATCAGGATGGTTCGTATGAGCCTAGCACACGGCCATAACTACTCTGAAATAGGTCGAAGTGGAAAGGATTTTACAACACACGCACACGTACTGTCTACACACAGCCTTCTCTGACAGCCGAACATAGAGCAGCTTCGATCTGGCTGAGGAGCCAAGTGCTGCTTCCCCACAGCAGCCTCTGATCTCAGCTTGGCACAAAATGGCTGCCGTACCCCACCCAGATGGCTGCCGCGACTGTAACACGTGATGAGCCATTTTGCACAAAATGGTTGCTACACACAGTTAGTAGATTTGCTGAGTTCCCTCCAGGACAGTGACAAAATCCCTGTGGTTTGATGAAACTAGAACCTGTGGTGTAAATGCAGTATCAAGTGTTGTGACTGTTGTCATGGGGATTGTGAGGTGATTGACAGAGAAGAACTCAGGAAGGCTTTAGAGAAGAAAATAAACACAGTGGTATTTATTCAGTGTTTCAAAGGAGAAGCACTACCAAGAGATGGACAACATGGGAGGGGTTTGGGGTTAGAGGTCAGACAGGGGTTAGAGATCTTCACAGTGGGGATGGGGGTTAGGGGTGGGCAGGTGCGGCAACGGATAGTGGAGTTTTTTGGGGGACGTTGTTACTCGGCCTTGACGTAGGAGCGTGTGCAGATGACATCACCAAGAGTCAGTGTCTGTGGAGAGGAGAGGAGAGTTAGATCTACAACACACACACATTCCTACATGTAACAGTTAACACCGATACACGTACACACACTCATACACACACACACACACACACACACACACACACACACACACACTCAGTACTGACCAGTTCGAGGGCGTTGCCGCTGACTTCACGGACCAGAGTGGTCTCCTTGCCGTCCCACTTCTGCACGTGAACCATCTTACCACCGTCTACCGTTATCAGGGACTAGAAAGAGAAAGAGACCAATGAGTTATGAACACACGCCACACGCCACTGACTGGGGAAACTGGAGAGGAGATAAGAAGGTGCAACCTGATAAAGGAAGAGTCTCAGTGGGTTTGAGACTGAGGTTAATGTGTGTGTAATTGCAGATAAAGAATACCTGCAGATAGCGCCTTTTTTCTATGAGTGTACTGTAGGCTATCTAGAACCTAAAACAGTTCTTCGGCTGTCTCATAGAATAACTATTTTGGGTTCCATGTAAAACCCTTTCTACAGAGGGGAAAAAAAGGGTTCTACCTTGAACCAAAAAAGGTTTTACCTGGAACCAAAAAGGGTCCTTCTATGGGGACAGCCAAAGAGCCCCTTTGGAACCCTTTTTTCTAAGAGTGTATGTGTCCACCTATCAAGAGTTGAGGTTACTAGACACACACACACACACACACACACACACACACACACACACACACACACCCTATCACGAGTAACCATTCCTCAACAATAAGACATTGTGTGTCTCTCTCTGTTCCTCAGAGCGTAGCTGAGTATAGCTAGACGAGAAAGAAGTGCGCGTTTAGAGCTGAAGTCGCGTCTAGCTGCTCTCAGCGGTACTCTATATACTCAATATCTATTCTCTCTCCTCTCTCTCTCGATCTCTCTCTCTCTCTCTCTTCTCTCTCTCTCTCTCTCCCTCATCTCTCTCTTCTCTGTCTCTCTGTCTCTCTCTCTTTCTCTCTCTGATCCATGTAGCATTTGTCTCTTGTCACACAGCTACAATTCATCATCCTTGACCTCTCACCTCTTATCTTTGACGCCTCAACCCTAACTGACCCACACAACAATGCAAGGCCTCTGTCTCTGTCGGTCTGTTTGATTCAGGTGGTAAGTCTGTTTGAAACCGTTTGCTCTCCTACTGAGACCTCTGATGGATGTCATGGCAGATACAACCATTTAGCTATAATCCATCATACCTCCCAGCCCCTAACCCCTGACCCCTGACCTCTGACCTTTCACCACATTATAAGGAAACACACTCATGACAACTCTTACAATGCATTATAACGGCATCATAATGCGTTTTAGCTGTAAAGTTGAATGCGTTAGCCATAAAAATAATAAAAACATACTGTTTCTACACCCACCATAAAGTATGACTATAATCATCAGCTAGCCATCTAGGACTTAGGTCAGTCTCTTAGCACTCCTGACTCCCTGGACCCCTCCTGACTCCTGGACCCCTCCTGACTCCCTGGACCCCTCCTGACTCCCTGCACCTCTCCTGACTCCCTGGACCCCTCCTGACTCCTGGACCCCTCCTGACTCCCTGGACCCCTCCTGACTCCCTGCACCCCTCCTGACTCCCTGGACCCCTCCTGACTCCCTGGACCCCTCCTGACTCCCTGGACCCCTCCTGACTCCCTGGACCCCTCCTGACTCCCTGTACCCCTCCTCTCCCTGGACCCCTCCTGACTCCCTGGACCCCTCCTGACTCCCTGTACCCCTCCTCTCCCTGGACCCCTCCTGACTCCTGCACCCCTCCTGACTCCTGGACCCCTCCTCTCCCTGGACCCCTCCTGACTCCTGGACCCCTCCTCTCCCTGGACCCCTCCTGACTCCCTGGACCCCTCCTGACTCCTGGACCCCTCCTGACTCCCTGGACCCCTCCTCTCCCTGGACCTCTCCTGACTCCCTGGACCCCTCCTGACTCCTGGACCCCTCCTCTCCCTGCACCCCTCCTGACTCCCTGGACCCCTCCTGACTCCTGGACCCCTCCTGACTCCCTGGACCCCTCCTGACTCCCTGTACCCCTCCTGACTCCCTGTACCCCTCCTCTCCCTGGACCCCTCCTGACTCCCTGTACCCCTCCTCTCCCTGGACCCCTCCTGACTCCCTGGACCCCTCCTGACTCCTGCACCCCTCCTGACTCCTGGACCCCTCCTGACTCCCTGTACCCCTCCTGACTCCCTGCACCCCTCCTGACTCCCTGGACCCCTCCTCTCCCTGGACCCCTCCTCTCCCTGGACCCCTCCTCTCCCTGGACCTCTCCTGACTCCTGGACCCGTATTCACAAAGTGTCTCAGCATCCTGATCTAGGATCAGGTCATTCCTGTCCATATAATCTTATTTATTATGACCTAAAAGGCTAAACTGATCCTGTATCAGCTCTCCCACTCTGACACTCTTCTTGAATACAGGCCCTAACCCTTAACTCCTGACCTCTTACCTTGACCTTCCTGTCGTCGGCGGTGGTCTCGTCGAACTCCTCCCCCAGTTTGAAGGTGATCTCGGTGTTCTTGAAGGTGCTCTGTGTCTTCAGAGTGACCGTGTCTCCAGCCACCTCGATGATGGTGGTGGGCTTGGTCATACTGCCAACCTGGCGTGTTGCAAAGCCCACGCCTGTCAATCAAAAGTTAACACTTCAGATTCTGGATGAGACTGTTGTAGACTAGCGCTCTCGTCTTTGATTAGAAATACACTTTAGATTTCATCTGGATGTGTAGTTATATACTACTGCTGCTGCTGCCAATACTGCCACACCCTTAATGCATACATTCATTTCTGAGGAAAAACCCAACGCAACACACGAACGAACTCACCCATGCACCAACACTTTTGGGGATTCACGACGTGTAACTGACTGCATCTAATTCTCACACACTCTAATCTCTATTTTCGTGTGTTTTTCTTTAAACATTCAGTCAAAGTCATCAGACCCATTGACCGAGCTGAGTGTGGAGGGGTACGTTCTAGAGTACAGTCCTTCTCCCCTGAACTAAAGTAACGTTTCTGTAGCAGCTGAGTTTATCTCCCAAGGCTAAATGTGACACACTCACACAATTCACACAACAACAAACAGCCAGTGTGTGTCGCCTGCCTGCAGGATCAGGAGAGTTGGGTCTGGGTTTGGGGGTCATTACCATGGTGACAAGAGCAGACAGGTCGATGCTAATAACGCCCATGGGGTCAACGAACAGGGGTCGCACACATACTATGTTAATATTCAACCCCTCCTCACAACGCTAGCTTTAGACAAGGAACGCTCTTTCAGAGAATTTCACCCCCTTGTGTGTGTGTGTGCGTGCGTGCGCACGGTGCAGACCATAAAGAGTTTCTCACAGTGGGGACATTTCCCCCTCCCCCATTCTCTCTCTCCTGATTTTCTATCTCCCTCTTTTTCTGTTCCAGTGTAGGCTGGAGCTATAGGAGGACGGGCTCATTGTAATTTTACATTTTAGTCATTTAGCAGACGCTCTTATCCAGAGCGACTTACAGTTTTAGTGAGTGCATACATTTTTTTCATACTTGCCCCCCGTGAGAATCGAACCCACAACCCTTGCATTGCAAGCGCCATGCTCTACCAACTCTACCAACAGCCGTATGGCTGGAATTAAATAAATGGAACGGTATCAAACACATCAAACATGGAAACATGTTCGGCTCCGTTCCATTGATTGTATTCAAGCCATTACAATGAGCCCATCCTCCTATAGCTCCTCCCACCAGCCTCCACTGTTTTAGTACCTCTCTCTCTCTCTTGCTCCTTCTGTCCCTTTCTCTCTCTTCCCTCTTCCTTCTCTCTCTTTTTTCCTGACCACACCCAGTTTTCCCACGCCTGGCATTAACATCTGCATTATCAATGAATCCCTTTATCTACTTCATGTGAACTCATGGATAACGTTTTCATGTCTCTGCATCCAGTATGAAGAAAGTTAGAGGTAGTTTCTCGAGCTAAATAGTGTTAGCGTATGCTACTAGCATGCTAGCAGTTACCATAGACTTCTAGTCATTGCGCTAACGCTAGTTAGCAATTGCGCTAACGCTAGTTAGCAATTTCCTTCTAACTGCACACAGAGACATACAAATGGTATCCACGAGTTCATCTGACTCTTGGGAAGTAGATAAAGGGCCTCACACACACCCTGTTTTCCCACGCCTAGCGTTAACACATTGCATTATCCCTTTAAACACACATGCTCTGCTACTTACATGCACACACACATATGGGGGGCGCGCACAAATACACACACCTGCACATGTGTGTGTGTGTGTGTGTGTATTTTTGCGCATATGTGTGTGTGTTCTCAAAACACAAACACACACACACACATCTGCACAAAAATACACAAATGTGGCTGCAAACAAACACACACTTTTAAGTATTCATGAACAGTCACACCCTTCCCACATGCACCAGCAGGCAGGGAGGGAGGAAGGCACACCCCATGCTTCACCACTTGACTGTTACTCCACACACACCCGCATGCATAAAACACACACACACATACACACACACACACATACACACACACACACGCTTCTCACCCAGAGCCTTCATGTATTCATCAAAGTTCTTGCTCTCCTTCAGGTTCCATGTGCCTGTGAATGCCTCAGCCATGTTAGCAGTGGTGTGGAGAAATGAGAGGGCAGCGAGAGAGAGAGAGAGAGAGAGAGCGAGTGAGAGAGGAGGGAGAGGGGCAGAGAGAATGGAGTCAGCACCACTGCTATGCTGCAATCCTACTGGTCGGTTTCATACCGGCTGTTCGTGATGTCATCACTCTGAGAGGGAGAGAGGAGGCAAAGACAAACAGACAGACAGAGAGACAGAGAGAGAAAGACAGACAGAGAGACAGAGAGACAGAGAGAGAAAGACAGACAGAGAGACAGAGAGACAGAGAGAGAAAGACAGACAGAGAGACAGAGAGACAGAGAGAGAAAGACAGACAGAGAGACAGAGAGACAGAGAGACAGAGAGACAGACAGACAGACAGACAGACAGACAGACAGACAGACAGACAGACAGACAGACAGACAGACAGACAGACAGACAGACTCAGCAAAAAAAAGAAATGGCCCTTTTTCAGGACCCTGTCTTTCAAAGATAATTCGTAAAAATCCAAAGGACTGCAGATGTGGCCAGACAGGACTGGCAAAAAGTGCTCTTCACTGACGAGTCGCGGTTTTGTCTCACCAGGGGTGATGGTCGGATTCGCGTTTATCGTCGTGGGAATGAGCGATACAGCGAGGCCTGTACTCTGGAGCGGGATCGATTTGGAGGTGGAGGGTCCGTCATGGTCTGGGGCGGTGTGTCACAGCATCATCGGACTGAGCTTGTTGTCATTGCAGGCAATCTCAACGCTGTGCGTTACAGGGAAGACATCCTCCTCCCTCATGTGGTACCCTTCCTGCAGGCTCATCCTGACATGACCCTCCAGCATGACAATGCCACCAGCCATACTGCTCGTTCTGTGCGTGATTTCCTGCAAGACAGGAATGTCAGTGTTCTGCCATGGCCAGCGAAGAGCCTGGATCTCAATCCCATTGAGCACGTCTGGGACCTGTTGGATCGGAGGGTGAGTGCTAGGGCCATTCCCCCCAGAAATGTCTGGGAGCTTGCAGATGCCTTGGTGGAAGAGTGGGGTAACATCTCACAGCAAGAACTGGCAAATCTGGTGCAGTCCATGAGGAGGAGATGCACTGCAGTACTTACCGTTTTTTCCAACTGCTTACACACAAAATCTTTTCATGTCACACGATTTTTTAAACCTCTCACTCAAAGTGCAAAACTACACACAAAATCTCCAAAACCATAAGCTATTTCTCAGCCTTTGACTCAGTTGTCAATTGCATAAAACACTTTTTTCAAAACACTACACACAATTCTCTACCTAAAACACAAAAATCTAACAGGAAGTGACTTGCTTTCCTTTTCCAAACACAACCAATCAAAATGCTACACTTATTCACCAGGTCAAACACACTCTCCTCACATGTTCAAACACTAATTGCTTAACTGATCACTAACCAATCACTGCTTTACTGTAGTATAGGACTGTTTTGAACAATGGATGCCAACAATGGACAGAGAGCAAGAGGAGTAGGAGGGAGAGGCAGGGGACAACAACGAGGACAAATTCAAAGACGAATAGTTGGAAGAGGAGGAGGAAGAGGAGGAGGAAGAGGAAGAGGAAGAGGAAGAGGAAGAGGAAGAGGAAGAAGAGGACGAGGGCAAAGAAGAGAAGGAAGGAGAGCCATCTCTGATGAGATTAGGGCAACACTTGTTGATCATGTGATCAACCACGGTTTGACCATGAGAGAGGCTGGACTGAGAGTCCAGCCCAACTTGAGTCGATTTACAGTGGCGTCCATAATTCGAACCTTCAGAAATGAGAACAGGTATGCAACTATCTAATGACTATTTTAGCATTAAAGTAATGTACTGTAAAATACGTATGACTGCATAGTATTGCATAAACATTTGTAACTCTAAGCCATCCATTTACTGCACTGCATTGAATGAATGAGGTTGGTTATCATGCTGTACTACATTTTTGTGTACATTGTTTACAGTTCCTATGCTGAACACATACTGTGTTTGAATTTTGTACAGAGTGGAAAGGCAAAGACATCATGGAGGACGAGGAAGCTTGTTTACAGATGTACAGGAGACTGCAATTATAAATATGGTTTTGGCCAACAATGCAATTAGGATTTGAGAGATAAGAGAACATATCTTGAATAATGACACCATATTTAACAACATCAATGCTGTAAGCCTGTCGACCATACAACACATCCTCCAACGGCACTAAGTGACGATGAAACAACTTTACAAGGTGCCATTTGAGAGAAACTCTGACAGAGTCAAGAATCTGCGAAAAACGGGGTCCTCCATCACAATGCCATACTGGGTCCGTACAACACCGGCCATATGCTCACTTTTCTGGATGCAATTTACACAATGCTTGTCCCTGATCCAGATCAGGAGCCTGCTAGATTTGTGGTTATATGGGACAATGTTAGTTTTCACCGGGCTGTTCTGGTCCAAAACTGGTTTGCCACCCATCCACAATTTGTAGTTTTGTACCTACCCCCATATTCACCTTTTCTAAATCCCATAGAGGAATTCTTCTCAGCCTGGCGCTGGAAAGTGTATGATCGCCAACCCTATGCCCGCATGCCGCTTCTCCAGGCAATGGAGGACGCATGTGGGGACATAGAGGTTGCCTCTGTCCAAGGTTGGATACGCCATGCTAGGAGATACTTCCCTCGATGTTTGGCAAGAGAAAACTTATCTTGTGATGTGGACGAAGTATTGTGGCCAGACCCAGCCCGGAGAAGAGATGAAGCGTAGCTTAGCACTGGTGACTGCCCCCCCCCCCCTACCATTTCCTGGACTGCACCCCCGGGACCCCCCACACACAATTGTGTTCTTTACTGTATTCTAAAGAATATACTTTTGGTTTACATATGTTTATGGTTTTGTTCTATGCTACTGTATACAACAGTAATGTTTGGCCTAATAAATATTTTCTGTTTCTACATTGCATTGGTGTTTACAGTGTACTTGTTACCCCTCTCAGCAGATTACTTTCACTGTAGAACATTGTATTGAAATGTATATATAAGCCTATGAAAGACCAAAGAGCTTTATATTTAGAACAACAGTGTTTACATGGTATATCCAAAAATTTACTATTATGAAAGAAGTGTTTGCCATTTGATGCAAATGCTTCATTATGACATGTGTTTATGGCATTTTGAATGCAGTTGTTACATTTTGAAGGAGATGTGAGGCATTTTGCATTTTGTGTGTGCAGTTTTGGGAATTGTGTGTAGAGTTTTGAAAAAAGGAGACATCGTTTTGAAAACGTGTGTAAGCAGTTGGAAAACAAAACTGTAATGCAGCTGGTGGCCACACCAGATACTGACTGGTACTTTTGATTTTGACCCCCCCTTTGTTCCGGGGACACATTATTCAATTTCTGTTAGTCACATGTCTGTGGAACTTGTTCAGTTTTATGTCTCAGTTGTTGAAATCGTGTTATGTTCATACAAATATTTACACGTTAAGTTTGCTGAAAAATACTGCAGTTGACAGTTGAGAGGACGTTTTATTTTTTTTGGCTGAGATTGAGTAAGATAGATGATAGATAGTAGATAGATAGATAGATAGATTAGATAGATAGATAGATAGATAATAAGATAGAAGATAGATAGATAGATAGATAGATAGATCAGTAGTTATAGAATGATAGATAAGATAGATGATAGATAGAGATAGATAGATAGATAGATCAGATAGATAGATAGATAGATAGATAAGATAGATAGTATAGGATAGAGCTCCCACATCAACCAGCTGGTTCCCTTGGTCACTGGTTCTAATCCCCGAAGCCAGACCATGGTGAAAAAAATCTGTCGGCTGTGCCCATTGAGCAAGGCACCTTAACCCATAATTGCTCTGGATAAGAAGAGCGTCTGCTAAATTTTTAAAAAATGTAAGGGAAGGTTTGGGTGGGCCGATTTTTTTCATTAGGGGGGGTTTTGAAATAGGTCCCTTTTAAAACCCCTTTTTGATTTTAGGGGTTTAGAAAAAGGAGAAGAATAGGGGAAAAAAGGGGGGGGGAGGGGGGGGGGGGATGGGGAAAAATAAAATTAAAAAAAAGAAGAAAGGAAAAAAAAAGGGGGTGGGAGGGGGAGGGGAAGAAAAAGCTCGAGAGAGAGGGAGGGAGGGGGGGGGGGAGGGGGGGGGAGGGGGGAGAAAAAAATGCTCGAGAGGAGGGGGGGGGAGGAGGGAGGGAGGGGGGGGTGGAGGGGGGGGGGGGGGGAGGAAAAAACACTCCAAAAAGGGGGGGGGGGGGGGGGGGGGGAGGGAGGGGGGGGGAAGGGAGGGGGGGGGGGGGGAAAAAAATGCTCAGAGGGGAAAAAAGGGGGGGGGGGGGGGGAGGGGGGGAAAGAAAAATGCCCCGAGAGAGGGAGGGAGGGGAGGGGGGGGGGAGGAAGGGAAAACGCCAAAAAAGGGAGGGGGGGAGGGGGGAGGAGAAAAAATTAGAGAGGGGAGGGAGGGGAGGGGGAGGAAGGGAGAAGCATGCTCAGAAAAGGGGGGGGAAAAGGGGGGGGGGGGGGGGGGAAAAATTTAAGAAGGGGAAAAAAAGGGGGGGGGGGATAAAGGGGGAAAAAAAAGGGGATTTTGGGGGGGGGAAAAAAAACCCTTACTAAAGGGGAAAAAAAATTTTCATAACCAAATTGGGTCCCCAAAAAAAACGAATCGTTATGAAAACCCCCAGGGGGGTTCCCCCCCAACAAAACACAAAAAGGGACATGCTGAAAAGAACCCCAAAAATTGCTTTGTTAAAAACACCCAAAAGCCAGAGCAAAAAGGCCCATACCCCAATTAAAAACCAAAAAATTTTAAAATTTACACCACCCAAAAAAAGAAACCCCCAATTAAAACGCCTACCAACGAGAGAAAAGGGGGAAAAAACCCAAAGCAAGCTGGTCCTGGGGCTCTGTTCACAAACACAAACAGACCCCACAGAGCCCCAGGCCAGAAACACAATTAGAACCAATCAAATTATGAGAACGTAATATATATAACTATGTGACACACTGGAAAGAATCAACTTGAAAACTGAGGAAATTGGATCTATCTGGCCCTTAACAGATAGTAAACAGTAGCAGTATACCTGACCACTGTGACTGACACAAAATAAGGAAATCCATGGCTATGTACAGTATAGCCTTGCTATTGAGTAAGGCCGCCGTAGGCAGACCTGGCTCTCAAGAGAAGACAGGCTATG